TCCTCCTCCGACTCCACATGTTCAAGTCGCTGGCGGTTGACCACATTCAAGTCCAACATACGTGTCACTCCACGACTTCGAAGTGCGGCCATATCTCGCTTAGCGAGCTGGAGTCCGTCGATGAGGGTGCTGGTGTCTTGATCAATGGCCGGTCGTAGATGGTGGGGTGCACATCGAAGGAGTTGTGACTTGTGGCTGATCCAGTACAGCTGTGGTCGGCCTTCGCTATCATCTTCTCTCATCAAAACACGAGCGGGGCCTTTCCAGCGAATCTTGACAAGGTCGGGGGCTCTGGCATCTCTCCAGTAGAAACATAGTTGACCTGGTTGAAACTGAGCACTGTTGCCAAAGTAGCGACGAAGGAGTCCACGTCTGAGCTTGCGATCAACATCTGTCTGGATGATGGCCATTCGGGCAATTGCTCGCTTTTGCAGTTCTTCTTCAAAACCCTTGGAGCCTTCGAGATGTAGTGGTGAAAGTGCAGTATTCAGAAGATCTCCAGGGAATTGTGGCTGTTGTCCAAGAAGCCATTGCGAAGGACTGTAACCGCTGGCATTGGGCTGTGCGTTCAACTGAGGCACAACATAGATGAGGCTTTCACGGACAGCGCTACCTCCTTCTTGGCCAGTTTCCTTGAGATACAGCTCACAGCTTTTGCGAAGGACTGCATGGCGTCGTTCAACAAGGCTCAGGCGTTCGTGAGCTTCGCCTGGTGCAACAGTGTGCTGGATGGAGTGCTCGTCGGTGAAGTTGGTGAAGTCGTCGGACAACCATCCTCTGCCTTCATCTGTCAACAGTTCAGCAGGAGGTCCGAAGTGAGCAATCCAGCAACGCTTCAAAGCTTCAACCAAACAATCTGTGCGCTCTGCCTGGAGTAGTGAAGCGGCCTGGTACTTGGTGGCTGAGTCCAAGATAGACAGAATTGGAAACTTGTTCTGTCCAGATTTCAACCACATCACGTCGCACTGTACCTGTTCGTTGAAAGTGGAGATGACTTTGGCCGATGATGGTGCAGCATGAGCAGGCTTCCGCATATGTTCGCAGCTGGCACACTTGTAGGTCTTCGCGACTTCAAGGACGGTGTCAGCAGCGCCTCGAGCCTGAAGCAAGTCGCAAGCTTCTCGGGTGTTGGGTGTCCAAGATTGCGATGCAGCTTTTGCGCAACACGGACTGCTTCTTGTTGATTGTTTGTCAACAGCTGTACCAAACGACCTTGGTGCGATCGTGACGCTTCATCACCAGCAAAGCCGTGATCCCACGTTTGTGGAGTCTCTTCAGCGGCCAGGTTGACTGCAATGATGGAGGCCATTGCAGGTTGATAGTCCTCCAAATACTTCGTGCGAAGTCGTCCACCAGGCATGTGTCCTTCAAGTCGACAGTGGTCGTGGGACTTGTCGCAAGTACGGCTCATAGCCTGTGCCATGGCTTTCTTTGTGGTCCTCAAGGCTGTAGGTTTCAGCACGGGGCGCCATTGATGGTCAACATCCTTGCAGAAAGCTCCATAGGCACATTGGTGGAAGTGGACATGAAAACCTGGCAAACTGGAGAGTGCACGTGTCTGCCACGAAAGAGCTTCTTTTGGTTGCTCAAGGTGTGCGTGTCGGGCTCCAAGAACTTGTCTTCTGTAGATCTGTCTCACGAATCGAAGGTGGACATCATGGTGATATTGTCGTTCTTCACGAAGGCGCTCTTGTCGCTCGGTTGTGTTGGCTGAAGGGCTCTGCATCTTGCTCCATAGGCCACAACGTGGTGCAAGAAACACTTCATCAGGAAGTTCTTCGGCTTGTTTGTCGAGCAGGGCCTTTCGGTGAGATGCAATGTCAAAATCCCAACCGGTCTCATAGCCAAACACTTCAACTTTGCAGCCAAGCGATCGAGCGATCTCGGACACTCTTGAGGCACCGGCATAGATCTCCCAAACAAGGCGAGGACGTGGGCCAGAATGCAACTCAGCTGTCACCATTGCTTGTAGCTGTCGCTCATGGTGGTTCAGGGAGTTGTCCATGCGCTTCCAGTCTTTCAGAATGACCTTTTTGCTTCCGTCAGCTCCCGACGAATGACCGCTGTCCTGAGAGACCCCCTCAACATTCATGTACGTCTTTAGGTTCACGGTGTAGGGCTCCTCAGTGTCGGTGAGGGCGGAATCTGCCAGGACTAGGTCAAACGACGGTGGCTGACTGAGCATTTCTGGCCTGAAGTCCGAGGTGAGCGGCAACAAGTATTCTCCATGGCGACCGATGGTGATCTCTTGCCAAGGAGCATTGTCCCACATCATCAACTTCTTCTGGAAATTGATGGTCAAACCCAAGTTCTCCAAAACAGGTCTGCCCATCAGCATTGGAGTTTCGCCAGGGATCAGAAATCCGGTGATGTACCCGTAGGCGTGATTGAAGAACACGGGGACTCGTGCTTGCCAGCGACATGTTACACTGTGATCTCCTCCAAAATGGAAAACTCGCTGGATTCGGGTGAGCTGGACGCTGTCGGTGTCGTACTGGAGACCTTTGAGGTGTTCAACATATCGATGAAAAGGGCCTGTACCCATGAGGTATGCTGAGGCTCCGGGATCGATCATTGTTGCATCCACTCGTTGTCGTCCCTGTTGGTCTTCAAAGATCACGTGTCCGGCTTCATTCATTGGAGTCGATGAAGCTGCCATCCCTTCTGTGTGTTGTCGGTTTGAAGGAGAGGATGGCGACGAAGTACCACCTGAAGTCTTTGACTGCTTTGGACAGTTCGCAGCCATGTGACCAGATCCTCCGCAGCGAAGACACTGAATTGCTGCCGATGAACGAGCACGAGGATCGGGAGCTTTTCCACCAGTGCGTGGTGGATAGCGAACTGTGCTGGAGCTTGACTTCCCTTTCTTGCCGCCCTTGCCCTTGCGAGGTCCCTTGCCCTTTGAAGGCGAGCGAGGTGGTGATGCAGAAGGTGACGTGTTGTCGTCCTGCAAGGCAACGATGGGAAGGTAGCCACGGCTCAATTTGAGATCAGCGAAACGTCTCCGAGCATCAAGGTAGGTGGCATAGGCTGAGTCGTACTCATCGACATCCCATTCAGCTGAGGCGGCAACGAATCCTTCCTCTTCTTCGAGTTCGTCGGCCTGGAAATAGCCGGCGTCATGGTCAAAGGTTGACTCATCTTCTTGCCAGGATTCGACGGGAACTTGATCGTAGTCGAACTGGTCGTCAAGCTCTTCTTCATAGAAGACGTTCTCGTCCTCCCAACCTTCATCAACCACATAGGCACGTTGTCCCTTGCCGCGACCGAATGGTCGTTTGTCTGCAATGACGGCGGCCTTGTGATCCTGTCCCAGGATCAGGTACAACGCTTCTTGAACTTTTTGACGTTCGAGTCCAGGAGCTTGCGTGAGGATCATCTGGCGCTGCTCCTTGGTGACGTTGGCCTTTTTGAGAAGGAACCATCCGAGAACTTGTGAAGGCAGCTTGACACCGTGGGCTTGTACCTTGCGGAACTTCTCATCAAACTCGGTGCAGAAGGTCAGGATGGTGGTTCCTGGTTTCCTGACTCCATGAGTGAAGATTCTCGAAGTCCTGAGGCATTTGGACTCGGTTGTCGTAGGCGAATGCCTTATCAAGGAGCTCGAGGATGGTGTCAAAGGCTGTCTCCTTCTCAACGTTCTTGAGGTCAAAATCCTCCACCACTTTCCAAGCTGTTCCCTGAAGACTGCCAATCAGGTTGAGGCAGCATTCTCCAGTTCGTTTCTGGAGCTTCATCTTGAGGTAGTAGATGTTGATGCGCTTTCTCCATTCAACATACGATTGCGGTTGGCCATCGAACTGGGGGATGTAGTTGTCCCTCAAACTAGTCGTGTCCAGACTTGTCGAGGCCTGGGAGGTGGCCATGTTGGCCTGGGTGCCAAGGTCTGTCGACCTATTGGTGCTAGGGTCTGTCGACCCGATGGAGCAGTTTGTTGTGGCTTGTGGTGGTTTGTGGTGTAGTTGTTGTGGTGTGTGTGTTGAGAGGTTGTGGTGGAAAAGGTGTGCCTGGAGATGACCCGGTTAGGTCAGAGCTCCGCTACCATGCAAATGCTGTGGTAGCACGAGGTACGGACGCACGAGGTTCCGGACCGTGGTGGTGGTAGACCGCTCGCGAGGTCGGTCTTTTCTCGCAACCAGTCGGCTGTAAAGTCGCGGCCCTCCCTGGTTTGAGACGGCGGTCGATTCAAACATGAACGGCCTGAACGATTGCATGGCACGCAAATCACAATAAGTCTTTCGTAAATACCAACCATGTGTTACACGGGGTTGTCTCATACGGTTTTGGGAACACAACATATGGAATAAAGAGGCCACAATCTGGAATAACTGATGCTCATGGCAACCGATGGGTCAGCAAGACATCGGCATTGCAAGACATCGGCTTCAGGCGGCATCGTCGCCAGAGTCAAGACGCGCAGCGCCCAGCTCGCTCGGTCCGCGGACTCGTCCGATTCGGCCGCCTGAAGCAAGGGTGCCGCCTTATCGCCCAGTTGCCTCCAAGCCTCTGGGCGAGCGATGGCGAGTGATGGCCGGATGGCGGCATGGCCACCATCCAAACTTGTACCAAAAAGGCAGACGGCGGGTGGTGGTGATTGGTGATGGTGAATCCGGGATCCTATTCTATTTCGTGCGGGGGATGGAGCGGTGTTCAGGTGCATCCACAGGGTTACATAACCTAAGTCTCCCCTGTTTTGGAGACAAAAGATTATCTCTTCTGTTTAATGATTAAACACGCTTGGCAAACTCTGTGTTTCCCTGCTCTCCCCCTAAAACGCTTCGAAGCCGGGATTTCCGTCGAAGCCGGGACGGTGCAGGTCTCCAGCGACTTCCGTCTCGCTGTGCCCAGGCCTTGAGATGGGCTTCTCCGGAGCGTGGCCCCTGCCCATCGCATGGAGCAAATCCAGAGAAGCAAGTCATGGCAAGACTAGCGGCTAGCTGCACACGCTGAAGTGAGTGAAGAGGAACACGCCTTCGCCTACTGCCTAGCTGACTGGTTTCGCTGCGCATGGCACCGACTTGTTCGCTCTCGCAGGTCTGTCTGAAAACCAGTGGCCACCTTCTCTACAAAGGTCGCCGGTCGCTCGAGCGCTACATGAAAGGCTTCACCAATTCCAGCTGGCGTTGGTGGCACTTCTCAACCAAGTCATCTCGAGCACCCAGGATGTTCCGGGGTCTCTGAGAAGCACAATTAAAATAAAAGAACGCACCTTTCTGGCTATGTTCGGTGACATCTGGACTCACTGTACAGTACATGGTGGTTGCAGCACCTTTCGTTACAGGCTTCCGGAACATGGCCATGGTCATGCCATTGTAGAGCAAGGAGGTTAATCCTCGATTCCCACCCCCAAGGCCGGTTCCAATGATTCCAGGATGCACAGCACAGGCAATGATGTTCTTCTCATGCTTTTGTATGTGTCTCGCGTGTAAGCAATCAACAGCTTTGGAAACTGCATACTCTGAGAACTCATTGTATTCCTCTTGCGGACACGGGATCTTGGCCGGATCAAAGTTATAGCAGGACGCACCTGCTAAGGATGACAGAATCACAACGCGAACCTCACCGGTCTTGGCTGTCTCCTTCAACTTCGGCATAAGAAGCTCCGTCAAGAGGAAATGGCTCAAATTGTTGGTGGCAAACTGAAGCTCAAAGCCTTGCTTAGACGGCAGCCACTCTGTTGGTGACATGATCCCTGCGTTGCAAATGAGGTAGTGCAGTGGCAGATTTAGAGCTAAAAAAGACTCAACGAAGGGCTTCACGCTACTCAAATCCGACAGCTCAATCTTCAGAATCGTCGCCTGCACGAAAAGGATGGATGCGAATGAGACCTAGAATGGGAGGGAACCAAGGGAATGCATGGGGCTGTGCAAGAGTTGAAAAAAGGCTGAAGATTCTGCAGAGATTTGTCCCGAAAGCCTTGCCAGTGAGCTTCTCCTTTTTCTCAAGCTGGTTCAACACTGAGGCTGCTTTGTCTGGACTGCGCACAGCCCAAATCACATGGCAGCCGTATTTCATCAGGCACCTGCACAACAAACCAGCCGGCAATCAGTTTGAGTTTATAGAGGATATAGAGCCAAGTCATCTCTGACTCTAGTCTCCCTAAATATGAAATCAAGTGAGGTTTCCACGTCTACGAACCATGTGTAGCCTGGCATTTTCCAGGCCAAGGCCATTGCTCGCCCCCGTGATCAGCGCAACTTTACCTTGCAATGCAAACAAGTCTTTGCCATAGACGTTCTCCAAGACCTCCTGGAGAGCGAAGGTGCCTGCTATCACAAATCCTGTTGCCTTTTGTTTTAAATACCCAGTATATACCGACCTTTATCCCAGAAGTCACATGTCGGGATGCCGAACTTGGAGGAAGTCGGGGTGCCCCTGTCACATCCACTCACTTGGGGACTCAAAGCCATCCCCTGTGTGACTCCTGGTCAGGAGTTCCATGTGACTTGAGACCCCTGACATGAGTCCGTTCAGACCACTCTCCGGGCGGTCCATTTGGCGCGTGGGGCGTGAACTCGACACCCTACCCCTCCATGACACTGCTGCTGTGCCGTTCTTCTGCAGCAAAAAGCATTCAAAAAGCATTCATTTGCCCAGTCGTGGGCCCTATCTGGGTGTGCATCGCCCCAAAAAGGGAGACACCCCGACACCGCCCTCGAAAACCCCGACACCGCGGATGTTCCGAACCGGTCAGCTTCCCAGCTGTGTCGGTCTCCCTATTGAAGCTACACACCCATCCAACTGGTCTGGTCCGAGTCCAGTCACCCAGTCTCGCTCGGTCGAAGGCCGCAGAACAAAGAACAACAGGTCGAGCCGGGGGTCGACACCACATCCCCGCCCCCAACTCTTAGGACCTAGTTCTTCAAGATATGAAGGGAACAGAGATTTGGAAACCAACCAACTGTTGAACAAATCCAGAAGAAGGACGCATAGCAGACCCTGTTCTCCACGGGTGTTTCGTCCTGTTCTCGGGAGTCCGGGGGGCTCTCAGGATATTTCACGGAAAAACACCGTTACACACCTAATGCCAAAACACTAATTACATGGGACGTTTTCATGTTTAGCTTCTAAAAAAGCTTACATTGCGGTGGTTGAAGAAGGATACATGTAGAAAATTGAACAAACAGACCACCCAGCCGTCCTCACACGTTCTACACTGTGACTGGTGGATCATCTCGTCCACGGCAATTGACATAAAGCCACTGAAGAAGGTCAGCAGGGTCGTTTTGGACCGAACCGTCGGGTCCAACAAGAGTTGTTTCACCAATCTCGCCAAGTAGGAATAGGCGATGACTTCTTCTTTCAATGCACTGGCCACCGCCCCCATGGCGAGTTCCGTGGGCGCGGACGCGTCAAGTTCCGTCCTTCTCCCTCCCTGTCCGGTCCGGGTCCCTCGGGCCGCACCCGGCACGGCGATCTCGGCCGAGAGACGACGGAACGTGGGGACGACGCGCCGACAGGACGGTGCGCCAAAAGCCGCCGGGCTCGGCCTGAAATCGTTGCCGCAGGAACTGCCAGTACCTCGCAGGAAGAGTCGGGGCGAAGTCAACGGAAAGGTCACTGACTTCTCCTGACTTCTAGAATTGGCCCCATCATGGTGCTTAGGAACTGCGACATGTCGAAAAGCTCCGTAGACATCAGAAAGGCTCCAGTGCTTGTGACTAACGATGAAGAATCGGCTTGTCATGTGTCTCCTTGTTTCTCTATTTTCTCCCTAATCAAAGCAATGGACGGCAGTTCAACAATGTTCAACATGCTTTTGGAAACAAAAACCTTTTTGTTTGGCTGATCAGCTGATCCTTCAACAGGATTCAGGCGCACAGGATGCAGGGGAACAGTTGCCGCCATGGCATCAGCATGCTCACCTGCGCCGAACTCACTGCGCCTCACTCCCTCCCTCCGGCTCTTCGCCTTCCACCGCCGAACAAACGAACAAGACACGAAAAAGTCCGTCGCACCGTGAGCCAAAAGCCCAGCACGATCTCCGCGAGCGTACTGTAGTGGAGAACCTGGACTCACCAAACCAGGCAGACTTCACACTTCGGTGGGAGCGAGCTGGATGACCACCGTCCGTGTCGTCCGGACACGGTTTTGGTCTCTCCCAGCTTGCGGGGGGGGGGCGGTCGTTTTTGCTGAAGAAGGGCGCTGGGTAAGTTACTGACAGGCATTTCAAGCTGGTATGTTGAAATGGAGAAGAAAGCTGGTCAACATCTGTATGGCTATCAGTCACTATCAAGACTGGAGAACGGCTATATTGAGAATTCCTGCAAAAGTCTCTTGCCTGAGCCTCCTGTGACTTCAGCTTTGCCCAAGTAGGTGCAAAAGCCTAGGGAACCGAGTAAAGTTTCAAGCGCCGAGTGGAATTGACGCCAGACGACAGATCTTGCGCAAAGACTGTTCCTGGACCCGTTGCAGACCTGCATGTTCTTTTAACGGACCATTGTCATGTACCCGTTGCACTCATGCGCTTTACCGTTGCCCATTGTCGTTTCGCTTGTTCCTACGTACGCTTTCCCTAGAAGTCTCCGCGACACGCACCTTCCAAACTCTACTTTCTCTCCAAGTGCTGCTCTCGGGCCTTAGAGATTAATCTGGTTGAGAAAGCAATGCTGAACACGAAGCATGGCTGAGAATGGTTGAGATATTCACAGATCATAGACACATAGATTGACATAGATCTCAATGCGATTGAAAAACCTTCAACAAAACCTCAGAAATTTCCTCATGAGTGCGGCTCCAGCCACAGCGAGGTTGGTCAGGAAACTTCACTTTCCTCATGAGCCCTTACAACTTCTGGAAGCTCTGCTGCTCTTGTCCACATCCAGCAGCTACATCATCCCAAACTCACAGGCTCTCCATGCTGGGCTGACTTCACGGTGACTAAGGGATGGACAGGCTTTCATTGCTGCAATAGGAGCCCACTGACCTGTCATGGACAAGAATTGGAATCACAATCAATGCAGCTTTGCTCCTTGTCTTCCTCTTCTGCCTGCAAATCCTATCACCCCACACCCAAAGGGTCTTTTGCAACTTTTGTGGCGACAGTGCCATTCGACACTGGCACAGCCGTCTGAATCCATGTGCGAAGAGTTGGATCTCTACTACGGTCCTCCCATGAATTTTTCATAGGCGACCCTCAAAAGAATTCCCTGGAAGCACTTCCAAGGTCATTTCTTCGGCAATCCATTGTCTCGCTTCCACTTGTGGAAAACTCCATAAAGGTCCCACTTGCGGTAGAGTTGCCTCAGCAAGCGAGACACCGCCCACGGCCATCAACCTTCGATTTCGTGTCCAAAAACCAACGAATAAATTCACCTGAAACACTCAATCCAAGGGGCAAGGCCTCTTTGAACTGAGTGGTGTGCGCTCGTGTCTGGAAGCGATCCAGAAGCCTGTGCTTGTCTGGCCCGGAGAGAAACTCTCAAAGAATGCCTATTTGGATCAATCAATTGAAAGCTGAAGGATTGATCTCTTATTTAAGAACGCTTTCGAATTTATCAGAACACCTAACTTGCAAAGTGATGTTCATTCCAAAAAACACCAAGTCCTGTCAGTCATGGTCTGCATGATGTCCACATCTTCTGACCGTGCCAAATTCGTGCTCGACCCGCAAATCCACCTGGGGTCCATCCAATCCTTGATCTCCTGCCACTCGGCCGCTTTGGTGAACTTCAGCACTTGCGTGACATTGCCTCGGCCGGAAACGACCGACAAAGAAAAAAACAACGAACCGGTGGAAGTGAACGCGCATTTGGATGGCCTCCACCCTAATAGCGATGGCCTCCAACCTAATAGCGATGGCCTCCAACCTAATAGCGATTGCCTCCAACCCACTAGCGATGGCCTCCAACCAAATAGCGATGGCCTCCAACCTAGTAGCAATGGCCTCCAACCTTTCAATTGCAATGGCCTCCAACCTTTTAATAGCAATGGCCTCCAACCTTTTAATAGCAATGGCCTCCAACCTACTAGCGATGGCCTCCAACCAAATAGCGATGGCCTCCAACCTAATAGCAATGGCTTCCAACCCCTCCAACCTAATACCTCCAACCTACTAGCGATGGCCCCCACCCAAATAGCGATGGCCTTCAACCTAATAGCAATGGCCTCCAACCCCTCCAACCCAACACCTCCAACCTACTAGCGATGGCCTCCAACCAAATAGCGATGGCCTTCAACCTAATAGCAATGGTCTCCAACCTTTTAATTGCAATGGCCTCCAACCTAATAGCAATGGCCTCCAACCTAAAAGAAACATGAAGGCAGGCTCATACGAAAGCAGCATCTCTTTTCTCA